TACAATGTGAATTCTCATATCTTAGGCTCTGCCTGTTGCTCCTTCTTTAAATCGTTATCCATCGGGAATGCTGTAGGGTATTCCATAAGGTAGTCTCAAGGGTATCCCAAAATGGATCCCAGAGGATATTCTATAAGCTATATTTAAGGTATACAGAGGGTAGGTATTCTACTACAGGGTATCCCAGATGGTATTCTTTAGGGCACTCTGCAAGGTATTCTATTGCGTACTCCATAAGGTATTGTACAAAAGGTAATCTATAACCTATATTTAGGAAGGTCTTTTATCGGAGTTTCTTCAAGGAATATTGAGGGGCATTGTACAAGGTAGTGGTAAGGCTATTCTTCTTGGTTCATGATTTCCTTCATAGGAACCCTTACCCAATAAGCTACGCTTCAACTGGGGACTCTGACTCGGGTTATCGTTGGTGGATTGTCTAAGCCGTAAAGGCACGGCAAAAAGTTAATACATCGATCTTTGAGGGGGGAGTAGCATGTGTATATATATATGTACACACACATATATATATATATACATATATATATGCATGGATAGCTGCTGAGATATGTTCAGGGTTTTGGATAGAGAGCCGCCTCTCCGGAATCCCCATCCCCTTGCTTGGTTTTGAAAGGCCTGCTCGGCTCTCTCTGGCACTCTGCCTGCTGCCCAGTGGTGATTTTTGCATAACTATGGAAAATTTCTGTAGATTCCTTACTTTAAGGACCCGAAACTAGGGGAATTATGGTACATTCCTTACCTTAGGGACCCGAAGCTCTGGGAATTATGATAGGATTCCTTACCTTAGGGACCCGAAACTGTGGGATTTATGGGTAGAATCCGAACCGAAACAGTGGGAATTATATGGTAGATTCCTGATTCTATGGGTACTGCAGGATGTATATCATCAAGGGAGAACCCGGAGGATTCTTGCGACGTTCGAGGCGATCCACGCTAGGCCTAGGACTTCCTCGCCCGGCCCTGTCTGAAATATAGGGGCCTTAATAATTAGAATAGGGTTTGGGGTATATTATACTAGAATTATAATAAGGAAGCCCCCAAAACCCTGTTCTTATTTTTGAGAGGTCTTGTTCAAGAGGGTGCAACTGTCACTCTACGTCTCTTTGCTCGCCCCGACGTTCAGTCCGCTTGACCCCCAAAACCCTATTCTAATTATTAAGGCCCCTACATTAGCACGAATGATCGGAGTTAATGGCACGAGCGAGATGTCTCGGTCAGCAAGAACCGATTATGTGCCGGACATCCTTAGAGCCTGAGAGCAAGGTTTGCAGTCATGAACGTACTTTGCATGTCTCCCAAGCAGCTTTCATGAACGCGTTGGGGGACAGATTACTAATGGACGGCCCTTCTACGTGCCATCATGCCGAGATTGCATGATACTGAGAGCCTAGCTCTCTTTGGGGAGCTGTTCCAGCAGTACAATAGAAGCTTAGGTTGCATGTAAGTAAAGGCTGCATGGCAGTTAGGTTTCCTCTGTGCCAAGGCGGTCACGACGCGCTTACGCGCCAAGTGACTTGGAAGGTGACTACGACCCGCGCTTCCTCGCGCCTCGTGGCGGCACTGCTGTGGCCGCTGTATGTGTTGCCGAGCAGGACATCTAATGCATCAAATGCTCTAGGCTGATGTATTGGCATCTGTTCTCCGATGTGCATACCTATGAACTCCAAACAGGGTCTTGCTAGTCTTCTCCTTTGCGTGGACATGATCGTGAAGCGAACAACACGAGACAGAAGTCCAGCTCAAGGTCTGTATTGTTCATCGGCATAGACATTATCATCGGTGTCACGGCTTCTTAACCTTATATTGGATATTGGGTGCAACTGCTGTGCGCATGTTCTAAGCTGGGCATTACACTATCGGTGACTACAGTCACGCTCGTGATTAGTTTTCTTCCGCTTATGCCTTCTGAGTTTCGTGAAGAACATGCAGTGGGGTTCATACTAGATCAGAATTTTGGTGAGCCCATATTGTGATTGAGGCTTCTAGTGGATGGTGATCAAACTTAGAACCCTGCTCCGCATGTCGCGTTTACAGGTGTTCTTGTGTTTCTTACAATTGTTCTCATGACTGCCACGATTGCCATCGAATTACCCCTCTTGTTCATTGGTGTTTCCTGGTCAGTTCGACCGGTGATGTGACGCGCTGAGGTTTGAGTTTACTCGAAACATGCTCCTCAGGGACAACCAGGTGCACTGCATGGGATACAGGAATCGGTGCATGTTGATGACACCTTCCCACTGTGATGTCTGGGCACAGCATTGGCAGCTGCAGCAATATTTTTCGTCAGTCGAATTGCAGCTGCAGTGCTGTGCACTGTTGCAAGCTGGCTATGCAGTACGAGGAAGATACACTTAATCAAGTTTTCTAGTTCTAGCGACAATGATGAAACCCTCGCACGTGCATTGAACTGTATTGACCAGGTGGACCTCGTCGAGGATTTCGTGAAAAGCCTGCAAACTGCCAAGAAGGCTCGGAAGCTTGATGCTTCGGTTCGGAGAGCTTCAGTCTCGAAGGTCAAAACATCAAGTTCACAGAGCCTCCTCAACTAAAGGTTTTACTTGTATAGGCTACTGTGCTGAGTTCACGTCTCAAGCCGAGGGCCGGCTGAATTCCATTGTTGTGAGTTCTTGCGTTTCCGTGGCGACGCCTTTTAAGGATGCAAAAGTAGCACACCTTGGCAAAGGGACACGGGATCGAACGCGATAAGAGCAAGAGAGTCTTAATCGAGATTTGAGTTTCGAAGAAGCGCAAAGTGCATCTATGCCAAAAAGAGACATGATTTCACGACGCCAGACCAGAAGTAATGTAGGCTGTTGTTTGTGGTTGATGTGTGCGAGTGCAAGGGCCCTGAGTAGAGTCAGCTCCTGCCGAAAAAGGCTTGTCAAGCTGCCAGGATGCTGGTGGTTGCAGCGCCATGGTGAAGCAGATGATCATGGGGCAGGCCGAGGGCTGAAGGTGTGGGAAAATGTGGGCTTCATGGTTTAGGTTTAGCAGCCTGAAAATCTCGTCTGCATGCTTGTAGGGTCGCTTGATCCTGTGTCCGCTGCCCCGCGTCGCGATGCGCAATGCCAGGGCAAGACCACAGTTGCCACGCCCTGAGAGCCTTGGAAAGTCGTTCTTTGAATCCGAGGTTGAGGCAGTCAAGCTTTCACAGTCACAACCATCGAAGCATAATGACTGCACTTAGCAAGTTTAGCCACGACAATACTGATGCGTTCGTGTGCTGTGCATGAGCTTGTGTGGCAAGGCTCAGTGCCAGACACTCCTGCAAGGTGTGCCCTTTGCTGGTGCTCATGCTAGCCGATGGGAAGCAACTCGTTGTCCTGGTTGTTCCTGGAGCCCTGCCGGGAGCCTCAGACTAGGGACAGACAACGCCCCTGACTTGGAAAGCGTGCAACTTGGGTCGAAGTAGGGAAGCTGCCAAGTTCAAAGACTGTCAAGCAGAACCCATCTTGCAAGAATGGAGCCGTCCACAGGATGCTTCCCTGTCCCATTCTTGAAGTGCCCGCGTCAGAGTTTCTGGAGAGGATGGGTTTGCAATCTTCTTCGAGGTTGGATATGTCTCGTCGTGTCCTGCGAGCCACCTTCGCCTCCGTCCTGACCAAGAAGGCCACGGCATGTAGGAAGTGTGGGCTCCCGAGGGTCAAGGAGGATAGGTCCAACTTCCCACCTTCTGTTTCTGGACCCGGACTCCCTGTGCACTCACTGAACGATCCGAAACGCGCAGCCTAGACCCAGAAGGCCATATTCGAAGCCTTGATTCCTACTTCTTACAACCTTCTCACAACGAAAGCATGGAGAGGTGGGTACTTTCGAGTGCGAGAGATCCTCCTCCTTCGACCCACATCTGCTGCGGAAGCTGGAGAAGGCACCGAGGGCGAGGGTTGTGGGTTTAGGGCTTAGGGTTTAGGGCCCATTCGGGATTTTGGTATCAGCTGAGCCATTCCTTGCTCGAAGATGCAGGGTTTTACGACTGCCACTACTCACGACTCGCACTACAAATACAGCGTCGACAAGTGCGGAAGCGTCAGCAATGATTGACAAAGAGAGGAATAAGTCGCACGACGACAGCGACGACGACCACGACTACTACCATTAATTACTGTATACTACCACCACTACTACTACTACTACTACTACCACTACTACTACTACTACTACTACTACTACTACTCCTACTACTCCTACTCCTACTCCTACTCCTACTCCTACTCCTATTACTCCTCCTCCTACTCCTACTGCTACCGCTACTGCTACTCCTACTCCTACTCCTACTCCTACTACTCCTCCTCCTACTCCTACTGCTACCGCTACTGCTACTGCGACTGCTACTGCTACTGCTACTGCTACTGCTACTGCTACTACTACTGCTAATACTATTACTGCTGCTGCTGCTGCTGCTGCTGCTAGTACTACTACTACTACTACTACTGCTACTAATAATATGAATAACAGTGCTAAACTACTACTACCAGCAATACTCGTCACGGCCTGCGTCATGGTCACGATGATCAGTACGGCCATGCCATCTTCAGAATCATCTTCCTCGCCGGACTGATCACTGCACTGTTATTACTATTCTTCACTGTTACAATCAGCATATTTTCATCTTTCTCTTTGTCTTACAGTCGTCACCGTGTCATCCGTAGCGTTCTTGCAAGCCTCTGAAAGAACATAGGATACCAAGTCAATCTCTCAGATGGACCCACTACTGCCAGGCAAAGACTTCGGGCGCCGCAGTTGTGACAGTGCCAACATCGGTGAAGTCTCTGATGCTGCGCATGATTGAGACCTGGTCAGCAAGTCAAAGGTTGGGTTAGGACGTGCACAGGACCCCGCATAATTAGATTTGGACGTTCAACCACATTTCCACAGGTAGGAATGAGATCATGGGATTGCACGCATGGCAGAAGAAGAAACCACTGCAGTCGGACACAGCGTTGGTCCAACCGCACGCTGGTTTCAGCACCTGCTTTGCTGAGGAGCTCATGATGAAGCTCCAGACGAAGGGCAAGGACGGAATCCCAGAGCTTCAAACCTGTACAAGGTGGAAAGAGGTGTTCAAAAAGGAAAAAACTGTACAAGCCGCAGTCTACTGGGGCACCGAGGCGTCGTCGTCACCTTGGCTGTGCAGCTAGTCACAGATGAATTGAATCAAAGTGCTTCTGTCCTCAACCCTAAGTGCCGCAGAGCCCTGAACCCTAAACCCCTGATTTTTGGAGGCCCTAAACCCCTGAAAAAGTGCCTCAAAGCCCTACCTCAAGCCGTAAAGCCCCGCGGAGCTTGAATCCCAATCCAACTCGGCCCTGGATCTCGAAGTCCTGATTTTGGCAGTTTCCCAGATCTCTGGAGTCCCCTGAGAGGGCTCTTAGAGGTACTCGTAGTAAGTATATAGGCTTCTTCTTAACACCCAAACTGGACATAAGACGTAGCATCCCTGCCATGAAAGAAGGGATTCGCCTCAGGTTCCCAATCTCTTCCCAGAGCCTCCATCTACCCTCTCTTGGACCCTGAATACCTACTATGGGGGACCCTAAACCCTATAAAACTCTAAACCCTATCCGGATCTGGGGTACAAGGAGGGTTTTGGTTCGCTTGGACGCAGGAGGCCGACACCGGCGTTACAGAGACACGGTCTCAGGTGCGGCAGCTTTCGAAGGCCCTTGACAGCACTGCACAGTCAGATCCAATTTCAGGGAGATATACCTTGCTGGGCTTTCGCTGGGCTTAGATACAAGTGATTTTTAAGAACTGTAGGCACACTTCATCCAGGATCGACGAGTAGCTACTCTATGTATTTAATACTAGCAGTCCTTCATTCTGTTGCAGGTCTCGTTTCGAGTTTATATCTGTCAGGCCGATGCATTCTCACTAACGCGACCGCAGATCGGGTCTCGAATGGCCGAGGGCTCCTCCTTAGGCAGGCTTTTCTCGTTTCGCGCTGACCACGGGTGCTACCTGTTGCCAACGCGAGCTAGCCCCATGCACAGAGTGCCCAGGTCACTTCGTATGAAGCCCGAACCCTGAATCGAAAGCATAGTAATATGAGGCCGCGTGCTAGGAGCCAGCTTGTCTTCATAGCCGTCACGCTAGCTTGATCTGATCCCAATCTCAGCTCCTCCTCTCCTAAAGCGGACCTGAGCCCAAAAGCCCTGAAAGCTCTCACAGCTCTTATGAGCCCCATAAGCCGTACTGGCCCAGAAAGACCCCAATCAATCAGCATCCTACGTGGATTCTTGTCTCAGGCACTTGCACTTTTCCGCCAGGGCGCTGTGCTCATGGATGAGGCGATTAACTCGGAACTTGGGGGTTAGGGGGAAAGGATTACGCGCTAGACTCAGCAGCTTGCATCATCTGACTGAGCTCAATTCATGGTCTGAAGGCTCCTAAGGTGCCACTCACCTTTGACGCTGTGCTCTGATTCTTGAACCTTTGGCATCGCAAGCCATCGACAGGGCACTCATGCAATGCAGAAGGCCTACCAACCGACATGCCTTCCTCTTGCAATCCGCATGACCTGCAGGGTAGAGGGACTAAGAAGCACAGGCGGATGAACTGGCAGTCTTTGCCTCATCACACGCCCATCTCCGTGTGAACACACTTGGCAGGTGGATGTGGTGCTACACCCGCTGAAGTCTGAACTGAACTTCCCCTACGGCCCCAAGGATGCACGCATGTGTGGGACAGAAGTGACGACTTGTACGGTCCGCTTTTGCGCATATACCTTGTCAACACGGAAGGCAGTATTAAGAACTGCCCAATGGCTGAGACGTTTCATGTCGATACTGCACAGGAGCCACTAGACGGTTCTTCCCCTCGTGCTTTCCGCTGGGCCGGGTATCCCAGCTGGACTGTTCAGCTGGGTGGCCGCTGCTCTATAACGGCGTTGAACGAATGGACCTGTCTTTTTGTTCATAGGCTCCCACTGCTGCTGGTATCGCCACCACTTGTCCTCCACAACTGATATCAACGTTGCTAGCTGTTGGTGTCGCGATTGCCGTGCTGTTGTCATAACTACTTCTATTATATACTTGCCAGCGTTGCCATGCACCGCTGCCACCATTGCTTTTCTCTTCTGTCGTACCAGTATCTAGAATGATGCACATCAGTCCTGGCTCTCTCGGCAGACTTGGGACCTTGGCCAAGCCTGGCTAGGGTTTGCTACTGCTGTGGTTTGCGAACGGTTAAGCTGCAAGATTTCGGGCTTGCTACCATCTTCGTGGCCAGGATCATCAACATAATAATAATCATCATCATCATCATCTTCATCAGCGCCACCATCGTCATGACGATCGTATGGACCAGTCTCATCATCATCACCATCATAGTAATCATCATCGTAGTCTTCGTTACCATATCATGAATCATGACTAATATGGTCATCACCATCCTTATGAACATCCTTCAGCACGCAATTCGAATCCCTTGACCCGATTGCTTCGTCGGACTTCAGACCTTGCCGATGCACCTCTTCGAAGCTTTCTTCCTGGCGCAGGTGCCCTTTCCTATGCCTGTTTTTTCTGAGGATTGAAGGGGCTCGAGGGTTTATGGTCCGGCTGCAGGTTGACTTGGGGCAGAGGTTGCACGGCTTGAAGGTACGTCGACTTGGGTTGCTTGCCGCTCGCTTGGGCTTAGGCTTAAGAAAACTGAAGATACTCTTCTGACAGAACTCTTATCGTTGTCGACCTTCTGCGTTGTGACTTATGCATGTGTGGCTTTCACATTCCTCTTCTGTAAACACACCACCTTGCAGCATCTGCCACTGCATGAGGCTATTCTGAAAGCTGGAGGCAAGATCCCGGCAAACGCAGAGGCAGGGCCGTAGAGATCGGCGCGGTATGATGCCAGAGCAGTTCCGCTGAGAGGCAATTCTATTGGCAAGAGCTCGGAAACAAGCCTAAAACCCTAAACCCTAAACCCTATAAACCCTAATAAACCCTATAAACCCTAAACCCTAAACCCTAAACCCCGAATCAAACCGGGCAGAACTCCTCGCTGCTCGGTTTTTTTTCATGAGGCACATCTCTCCGGGGCGCAGGGTACACGGTACAAGGACCACTCTTCGGGGGGGGGGGAGCAGAGATGGATAGAAATACCCATAGGATCCATAGTAGTTCCTTTTTGGGATTACCTTATAACTGTAATGGAGCCTAAGGGTAGTATGGTTGCGGCTGTGAATGCAACTGCGACGGTGGGAGTGTCGTCCTTCCTGCCTTGTTATCATCATGAGAATCATGGAAGTTGCATTCGCAATGATGAGTCAGAAACCACAAAGCTGACACATCGTAACCATTATTCATCAGTCGAAATTCATGCGCCATTGTAATGGGCAACAACATACATGCTGCATGCTACTAGTTTGATACCCGGAAAGAGACTATTCTAGACTCCCAATCCCAAACTCGCGATGGCATGCGGGGTTGCAGAGACATTCGCGCAGCTTCCCCATGGGCCGCTTCTCTAATCTGAAACGTATACTTGTTAAGGGTGTGGGGCTTTAAGGTTCACACCCAAGAAACTTCCATTAGCAGTAATACTGCTATGATAACTGCTAGGCCCATTTTTTTAAACGCTTGACGTAGTCCGCGTCGGCCCTGCCGGAGGATGCACAGGGCAAAAAGCAGGTCACGTGGAGCAAGATCATACGCCGCATGTTAAGTGCTAGGGTGTGTGGACTCTGCTGAGGGGGGGGGGGGAGAATTGCAAAGTGTGAGCACAGGGGTCTTAGAGAGGTGTTGTGGGCTTTGGCTTTGGCTGGGGCCGAGTCGAACTGCAGCAGTGGGATTTTACTGAAGCCTGCGAACACGGGCAGGAGCGAGCCCTAAAACTCAGGTGGCGAATAACACACTGCATGCAAAGGCAGTTGGCCGTGTTGAGATGAGGTCGAATAGCTCCTTCGTTCAAGAGGGTTTCGAGTCTTACTCAATGTGGCTTCCCCTGGTTTTTGTGCATGTCCTCCAGGAGATTGCAATCGGCCTGAGCAAGCGAATCGCACAAGGCTATGCTAGCAAGGCCGCCAGACTCGCATTTAGCAACTTCACAGCTTCAAGGGTGGCTCTGTGCTTTTGTCAAGGAAGCGTTTTCTTGCTGCTGAACAGCCCATCACGAGCAAGGAAGGGTCTGAAGCCTCAACAAAGACTTAAAGACAGTAACACTGATCGTTCGATAGAGGCAGCAGACATAGCAGCAGCGGCACACATCGTAGAAATAGGCCCAAAGTGTCGGCTTTGCTCAGTGTGTAGCATATGCATCTAACATCGCACCACAGCTCTTACTCTATTAAATGTATTGGTTGCATGAACGTCAGATTATTGGAACAACAAAGATCAGCAGCAACAACGACTATGACGACGACTGCGATTACGCTGCTGCTGCTGCTGCTGCTGCTGCTGCTGTTGTGGTGGATAGTATAGTGTGACTGCGAAGCTGAAGCCGGATAAAAGACTCCTTTTTCCATGCCGAACATGCCAGCAAGTAAGGCTTTGCAAGCCTCTCCTCACCTGGTGTTGCTTGAAGAGCAGTTCTTCGTTGAGGCACCCGCTGGACACAGTTGCATGGTCAAGTTGATGTGATTTTTCTATGAATTGCATCTCTTCTGTTCAATACCAGTCCTTATCTGCGGAAGACGGCTACAGTAACTGGAGATCTGTTTGCTCGCTTCAGCGGAACGGGCGCTGCATGAAGGTTCTTGCATCAAGATCGGTTGGTGGGCTGTTCCAAAGAAAGCTCCTTTTCGGCCAGGGGCCTGTGCAGCCTTAATATCAGCCCGGATCTAAATCCTAGGTATAGCCCCAGCTATTGTAAGCCCATGGTACCCTCAAAACCCTCAAAAAGAGCAACCCTGGAACGAGGCCGTGCAATTGGTAATGGCTCATCTTGGAACAGCCTTACCTGCTCTAGGCCCTGAAACCCTGAACCCTACACCCTAAAACCCTAAGCCCTAAACCCTGAAAGCCTAAGCTTATTATAAAAACCCAAAAATCCGTGCCTATACCTTGAAATCCTGAACCCTAAACCCTAAAACCCTAAAGCCTTGCAGCAGGAGATGAAGCCCTTGCTCACAGAGTGGCTGATTCTTTGGCTGCGATCCCAGGCGACTTGTAAGAAAGACCCAGACCCGGCACTCCAGGGTTTAGGGTTTAGGGTTTGTGGGTAGTTCTCTAAATTCGGATCCTCTTTATAAGGGTGCCGGAGTATATTGGGGACCCCGATTTAGAGAACTACCCATGTGTTCTTGTCTGCAGGCACTGTTTACACGTGAACTTCAAGCTGTCGGAGCATCCTCCTCCTGCTTTGTATCCATGTGCAAACCAACCCCAAGACTTCCGAAAATCTGCACCCCGTCAGCATGCGAATTGCGGCTAGAGATTGTTCTTGTCAATTTTCGGCGCATGTAAAGTTTTGGAAGCATCCTGCTGTTGCCAGGGTGTCATGGATGCCGGGGAGGGAGGCACGGACCGATGAGCGGTGGAGTTGTGCGCTTTTGCATGCGGTTTCTGTTTGGGGGGTTGAATAGCGGACTCTGGATGTCGAGTGATGGTACGTGCTGGCGCTGTCAATCCTGATTCGCAGCCTGTGGTCGGGGTCTATGCGCGCATTCCTGCGTCAGTGAAACACATGGACACCACGGCAGCGGGTTCAGAAAAAGCAGCATTGAATGTGTCGAAGTTGTTACCATCGCTCATTCGTGGTTGGGTATTTCGCCTACTATTACTTGTTCATTACGTTTCCCATTCGCAGCAGCGGCACTACGATGATTATCAGAATAATTCTACTGCGTGCAAAGGCGCTTCCTTCAGCGAGGATCCGTTTAGATGCAGGAAGGGGATGCTTCGCCTAAAGCAATTGCTCGCCGTGGACACCCAAAATGCTGGACTTGCACCCGATTACTATAGAGTCTAGTTAGAGGGATCTTCAATTGCTGTCAGAATCCAAGCAAACCTAAAGCATGTCTGCTTCGAGAGACACTGACATGTACTGACACAGGCTCCGCTGCGAGACTGCGCACCGCGACTGTGAGCAGCGTCTCGGCTTTACCAGATGCGAATATCGTGAAACGGTCCCCGGGTATCAAGCTTACTACCGGCATGTGTTGTTACCGCTCTCGATGTTGCTGCTGGTCGTGTTTCTTGGATTCTTCTGCTGCTGCTGCTGCTGCTGCTGCTAGAACCACTGCTACTTCGACAACGACGTCGTTTGGGGAGGAGGTATAGCTAGTGGTAACAGCGCAGCAGTTAGCCAGTCCGAAACTGCAAGCCAAGCTCAATCTTCTCCAGCCGCAATCTGCAAATCCGAATCGAAGTCCTAAGTGAAGTCCAACGCAGAGTTCCTCTGCCAGGCTACCTTATGCGGGCATCGGATGAGAAGGCAACACCTGAGCAGGAGCCGAGCTGAGCAGCGCATGCAGTGGTAACTCATAATATTATACGTGATATACATGTAATGCTGCATATATATATATATATTAAATATGTTATATATTATGTATACTTCCTTGGAGGGTTTCAGATTTAGAAAAGGCCTCGTAGGTCACCTTAACTTAGGCCTACTACTCAGAACCCGACTTGACGTCTGCCCCCAGCCGCTCCAAGTGTCCAACTGTTTCACAACAAGGCTCGACCCCTGAAGCCCTAAATGGGACTCTCCGAAAATGAGGTACCTTATTATAATAAGGATCCTACTATTTAGGGTACTATACTAGGGTCCCCGATTTTCGGAAAACCTCAAATTGCTGAGGCCTGTGATAGGCCAGTGGGAATGAGTTAGGTCACACAGAGCATTTGCCTCCCGCCCAGGAGACTGCCTTCGCAAAGATTCCTGCCGCATGGACCTTGGGACTTTTACGGTTCAACTATATATATATATATTTATTATATATATATATACATTATATATATATTATATTATATATGTATATATTTATATACTAATATGAATATTATCTACTATACATTATATGTTGCATACTATATGTTATAACAAGCTCGCCAGAGCATGCTCGCAGTCGCTTGTTCGCTTTTCATTTCTCACCCGTTGCTCAGCCTTGTCTTGGCTGCAGCTGTCCGGCGATGACCCTACCGCCAGGCCAAGCCAGAACCCAGAGCCAGAGAGCTAATAGTTGCCTTGGATCACTATCGAAGCCTATGCACATGCCAATACGCCCGCTAATATGCCAATATTTTCCAATAGGGGTTCCTAAAACCCTGTTCAAATTAGCAAGGCCCCTCTATTTATTCAATTGCCAGAAGTCTCCGAAGCCCCGTAAGGCTGAGATGAAGATGCTGAACCTGGCTCACGTGCTCCGGCGGCGACGATCAAAAATTGCTTTACCAGGAGTCTGAGGGCTGGAACACCAAAGAGATGGCGCACTAGCTGGGAATTAGTGACCTTGTAGAAGCCATACCAGTAGCTATAGCAGTTTCAGTAGACTCCTACTTGCTATTAGCAGTTTCCAGAGACTCCTACTTGCTAGAGCAGTTTCCATAGACTCCTACTTGCTATAGTAGTTTTATAGACTCCTACTTGCTAGAGCAGTTTCCATAGACTCCTACCTTAGCTTTGTGGGCGTTTCGCCGAGACCTGGCTCTCCCTCTTGCTCCCGCACTGCCTGGCGAAGATCGATCGGGTGTCTTTCGGAGTTATGACCAGCGAGGACGGGCTTCGGAACTGTGGGAAGGGTTTAGGGTTTAGGGTTTAGGGCTCCGTGGGTGCAAGGCATGGCAGCAGTGTAGCAGCGGGCCAAATTACCATCAGACTGTAGCCGTGCAGCCATAGTGATAGTATCCAGCGTCTGGTCTAATTCTCGCAGGTTGCTGTGCATAAAGGACCTTGCAACTGGCGCATCAGTGGCTGGTGTCTGTGATGATGCTGCTGTTGATTATGATGACGTTTATGATGAGGAGCAGAAGGAGGAGGAGCATGCAGCAGCTGAAGAGAACTATGACGCCGCTGCGGTCGTCATCATCTTCATCATGCTGGTGATCCTGACCATCATCATCATCATCACCACCAAGGTCATTATGACTATGACGAAGACAAGAGGTGTTTGGAGATGGGGTGGTGAGGTTGGTTGTGATATGTCGTGATTGTGGCGATGATGATGACGCTGACGATGGTGATGAAGAAGACGATGATGAAGGTAATGGTGTCCGTGATGATGGTGAAGTTTGAGGGACAGGTTATGTTAGAGATCCTCAGATTTCCTGGCTTCAGGCAGAGGTTTCAGTCACCAGGTAGTTGTGTCATGCGTAATTTCTCTCAGGATCTCGAGAGGGCCTTGGAGGCCGATCCCAACATGCCACTTTCGAGAGGCGCGGTGAGCAGATGAGAGTAGTATAAGCATAATAAGGAGCCCTTAATGTATAGGTAATTGTTAGGGTCCCTATATTAAGTATTGACGTTGGGAAAGGTGTCCTTAGACCCGGCTCGGTTTACGCCTCAGGGTTTGCGGTGAACAAGGCTTCTGACGAGTACAGTCGGCGGATTTAGAGCCGAAGCGGCGCACGGCGCTTTCAAGGCTTCATGGACATACCAGTCGGGCGAAAGCCGTAAAGGCACAAAATGTCGGGGGAAGTATCAGTTCGAGGTTGAGGACTGCCAAACTTGGTGGGACAGTAGGAGTTGCATATTGGTTCTCATTATTGGGATGCCATCAAGAAACTCCTGGTTCTGCCTGGGATCCAAATCCTAAACCCATCAAAATTCTGAGCCCTAACCCCAAACCGGAACCCCAAACCCTAAATCCCAAACACCTCTGTGAGGTTCAGGTGATTACTGAACTTGGACGTTCGGCGCTTCGGAGTGACACGAAAAGGAGATGCTGAGGATCATCCTGCCATAAAGGACATTTATGTGTGTAGGCATAGAGATAGATGTGCATGGCCCTGTCTGAATGGATTACGGACGTATGCCAATGTATATGTTGCTTCCGTGTTCTTCGATTCGTTCTTCGCTGAAGCTAACACGAAGCTTGAGCAACTCTGGCAATCAGCTGCCGCAGGCAAGCTTGCCATACCTTTCGCTCGCCTCCCGGAGACGTCTGACAACGAGCTTTCTCTTCTCTTGGAGCTGATGACCATTTGCTCTGAAACCTAGAATCTACCTAGAATTCCCCCCTCTGCGGCCATCACTACGCTGGGAATGCTGAGGTCGGTAAAGACGTGCCGTCCCCGACAAACGAGCTCTTGCCTCGGGATTGCTAAGCTTTACGGATGCAGGCGCAAGTCCAGCTGTGACGGTGATACCGCAAGTCTTGAAGCGTGCGACGCCCACATGACATGAAGCTGAGTCTGAACCTAGACCTACCCCTTGCTGTAGGCCCTATTCCACCACTGTGCACTATCACCACAAATGCTATCCGTGGATTTCATCTTCATCGTGTCGCGAGCTGAAGCTGTTTAAGCTACCTTACAAACTCAATGTATGGAATGGCGGGCCTTCAGAAAGCAGACTGGGTTTTGGTGGTATAGTGTTGTCTATTTGAACTGCAAGTGTATTCAGGACCCCCAAGGAATAGTGTGTCGCTTGTCGCTTGAAGACATCCACCAGCGCACCAAAAGCCTGAGAATCTCAGCTGCCCTGTCATTTTCAGCCCCTTTGCCGAGGTTTGCCCATCCAGACATCGTGATTGGCCTGACCATCCTCGGGCGCCCCCCCTTGGACCTGTTCTGAACCGTGTAAAATGAGCAAAATATTGTAGCAGGATGGACTGTCTTTAGAGACACTTGTAGATGTTGCAGTATGCGTTTAACGCAAATAGCCGTGTTTTGCTTGCAGGTATCGTTATGAGTACCTTCGGCTGACCGACATTGATGAGGCTTGCGGGCTCTGCAGTCAAAAGTCAAATGCAACAGCGCCAAAGCTGAGAAATCCTTCCCCTGCCTGAGCGTTTTTCAGGTCATTGTCCGGCTTCTAAACGATGTTCGAAAGGAGCCCGGGAGACAGCAGGAGCGCCACGGTTTCTCCTTATGACTATTACCCTGGCTTTATCCTTAAGTACGGCTATGATGATCTAAGGACTGTTGCCTTTGAGGCTGTTGCTTCTGCATTTGCTGTTGGGTCGCCACACATAGGTTGTTCTTTTTGCTGCTGCTGCCTCTGCTGCTGCTGCTGCTGGTGGCGGTGGCGCTGCTGATATGCTGGTTCTGTACTTACGGCAAAGAGCTACCCACTGTAACCTGGCTGCAGTTATCACAATCCGCACCATCATCATCTATGTTGCCGTTGTGGTTCGTTCTCGACTGTTGGGCAGTTGCACCCGACAGCTGGATTGCTACATGGTTGGCACGAGGCCTCTCCTCAACCGTCAATGATACATGACTGCACCGACTGCATCTAGGAATCTGCAGAGCAACACTTTGGAGCAGAGCCCGGTCTCACATTCTGCGAAGCCCGAGGTTTTGAGGTTAATGGCTTCTTGCAGTCCGCATGGACTGTGAAACTTTTTCACATCCCTGCTGTGGGTGTTAGAAAGTGTCACCTCATACTTTGGGAATAAGCCGTGCACTCAACTCATGCACTCGAGCTTGCCGGAGCCCTCGAAGCTTGTGGCCTCTATTTTTTTGCGCTGCTTTGGCAGGATCGGCCATCTGCCGTGCTCTACCGTGGATGGGTCACTGAAGCAGGCGGTCATATTTGCGCCAGCGCCTCAGACACCCCCAGACTTTACTATTATTATTACTACTACGATTATTATTCTTATATTATTATTACTATATTATTATTATTATGAATATTATTATGATTATGGTATTTATTCCGGCTCTGATTGGTTTGATGGTTTGGGCTCGGACTTGGGGCTCCATCTGATGGTCATGCGACTCACATCTTCAAAGAGCCGAGCGCTCGTCTCGGTAGCCGCAGTTCGAACAGAGCTACCCATAGGCCCCTAAGTAGTTCCTTTTTGGGACTACCTTATCGGATTCTAAATATGACCCACAAAAGGAACTACTTAGGGGCCTATGGCTACACTCATTTTCGGCCGCTCTTGGCCGGTCTCAGGACCCATCGGCGCCCACTGAGAAGGTGGACAGCGGCAAAGGCGCGAGCTCAAGCCTTTGCAGTCTTCGGCGTACACCCTAAAGACCCTAAAGCCCTAAAACCCTAAACCCTAAAAACCCTTTTAACCCTAAACCCCTAAACCCTAAGTAACAGGTGCCCTTCCAGGTTTCCTGGTGTGGGGGTTGGGAACGTGTCCAATCAGACATTCTAGATTCTATTATAGGGTTTAGGGTATAGGGGTTATAGGGTTCTTAGAGTTTATAGGGTTTTAGGTGAGTACACAGCCAGTGCGGCCGGGACTGTGGCTGAGGTTTTCAGCTTTGGTCTTCTAGGCACTGGACCTTTCACGCGAGGAGCCCTCTCAATGGCGTCCTAAGCCCGAAACCGGAACCTTTGGACTCTAAGCCTTCTTGGCGGGCTAAACTGCCTAAACCAGCAAGTCCCTCAAAGCCCCTGTCAGCCTCTTGCAGGAGTTCCGCCGCTTGCTCTTCTCCAACGCTCCAATGATACTCAGATGAGGGACCCCGGCTGTTTGGACAAGAGCGTTTCGGTTCAGTTTTGGTGCTCATTGTACTTGCGGGCTCACAGTCTCAGAGGCTTTTTTCCCTGAGCTGACAACCGAAGGACGTCTTCAAGCTCCTTCGCAGCTCCACGTCGGTGATCCAATGGTACTTGGAGCAACTGGTCTTCCCCAAGTACATGAGGCGCTGGTTCCCCACGATTCTGTCATGCTGTCCCTTCAACCCAGGGCTGGCTGTGCTGTTGTCCATTCTGTGAGTCAGTCAAAGTCTATCGCGAAAAGACGATGTGCCAGGTTCCAGAACAAGAAGCTGTCAGCAAGTGGACAGGAGACTCCTGCAGCCAGGGAGTGTTCGGTGTCGTTTTTTGTGAGTGGTCATGCCAGGGGTTCTAGTTATAGTTCCCCGGCATGTCGTGTCTATTCATGCAGCCAGGAGGGGATAAGTTATAGGGGCCTAAACCGAAACCAAGGCTTAAGGCTTAAAGAACGGACCAAAAAATGCGAGCAGAGACCGTGGATGAAAAGGAGCTTGGGGCTGAGATGCTCTTCGCCCGCCTTGAACTCAGAGCTTTGGTTTGGTTGCTATGCACGCGAGTAGGGTTTAGGGGTTTAGGGTTTAGGGGTTTACGGGTTGAGGGTTTAGGGTTTAGGGAGTTTAGGGTTTAGACTTGTAGCAGTATAGGGGAGGAGGCAGACTAGGACAAAGTGAGCAATTACTGTCAGTAGTCATCGTAGTAGCAGTAACCTACCGTAACTACCGCTTGTGGTATAGTGATGCTAGTCGCCACTGCAATCAAAACAGGAAGCCCTCCCACCATCATCCTCCAGTGAACTCGCTGTCAGGTCGCGTCGGCTTCAGTGGCACCCCCACTGAGCTGCTTCCCAAGGGGCTTGGCCGCTGCCACTTCGCGTCGGGGGCTTTGATCCACCGTTCCAAAAGCACGTCAGCTGTGATCATGTGGCTGTCTTCTCCCCGGCGGAACTGCGTAATCGTGTTCTATTCTCGGTCATGGTCATATTACCCTTACCCCGCAGGCACCTACCATATAGGGCCCTGGGGGCTATAGTACCCTATATAGTAGGTACCTGGGGGGTTAGGATTACCAGCCAGCCCCAGGCCGGGTGATGACGCTGCGATGTTTACCACCCTCACCGATCCGGTGGTCATGAGCTTCAAGCAGGCACACAAGAAAGTGGGGACCCTAATGTAGTACCCTAAATAGTAGGATCCTTATTATAAGGACCCCAAAACCCAAATATAGTACCCTAAATAGTAGGATCCTAATTATAAGGACCCCAAAATCCTAATACAGTACCCTAAATAGTAGGATCCTTATTTTGGGACTCCCTCCTTGCATGGCAAATTATCTCGGCGGCCTGGTTTCTAAGAGGGCGGGGAGAATGTCAAGAGGGAGCCCTTGGCAGCAACATGCGTCCCATAGCTTTCAAGCTTGGCAAGACCTATATGCGACACTAATGATTCCTGCGGTCGAGCTGTGCAGCTCCTTGAGCATTCCCCAAATGGTCCGCATGCTCTAACTGTCGGATGATTTGGGGAATTGGAAGAGCAGTTCCCGCCCCCCCTTCCCCCCACTGTCTGAACATCGATTGGCTGCTTGCGGTCTTGCCAGATCGACGGCCAGTGGAAAGTGAACTCTCTGCTGGAGAATGTGGTAGCCGAGGCCGGAGCCTGCTGTGTCTTGTCAGATAGCTTAACAGGCGGAGCAAAGCAGCTCTGGTATGCATAGGTGCTTTACAAACAGAAGGCCTAATTTACTGAACCCCAGACCCTAAACCTTCATTCTCACGCCCTCGACCCGCAACCAAAGCTTCTTGGAGCCATCGTAGGCTGTGGACTCTACTGGGAGACCCAGCCTCAAGAACTTGAGAACGAATACAGGGGCCTTAACAATTGGAATCCGGTTTTGGGGTAACTGTACGACTATAGATTCTGCTACGGAATCTCTTTTAAATGTTTATTCCAGTCCCAATTGTGAAGGTCCTTTGGGGTGTGTGTGTGTGCTTCTGGTTTGAGATCAGGTGAAGCTTCGGGGCCAGGGAGTGGGAGCTCGAGCATTTCCTGAAGATCCCAAGCACCACGGGCGCGCCCAAGAGCTCCCAAGCCGCAGCCCAAAGAAATCCAATCCACCCTGAACCCTAAACCTAAACCCTCCAGGTGCATCCCCAACCCCTCCCCTAAACCCAAAACCCTAAACCCGATAAAACCTGCATCCCCAACCCCAACCCTTGCCAACCCTAAACCCTAAACCCTAAACCCTAACCTTCCCATCCAAACCTTACGGTCTCCCTGGCGTCAAGCCCAGAGGGTCTGAAGACCGAAGCCCTCCAATCCACTCCCAAACCATTCCCTTTAAACCTCAATCACCCTAGGGTTTCGGGTATTAAGGTTTAGGATATTAGGGTTTAGAGTTTTGGGGTATTAGGGTTTAGGGTTTGGGGGTTTAGGGCTTAGGGTTTAGGGGTTTAGGGTTGAGGGTTTAGTACATCCTGTTGTGCCCAAATGTAGAACCCCCGATGCCCTGCTTGGACGGTTCTGGAGGACGCAGAGGCCCTCATCGACACCGGGGCCTTGATCACGGGCATGTCGAACCTGGAGGCGAGGACAATTAGTACTATAAGGATGGGTTTAGGGTTGAGGGGTTTAGGGTTTAGGGTATTAGGGTTTAGGGTATTAGGGTATTAGGGTTTAGGGTTTAGGGTGTAGGGTTTAGGGTGTAGGGTGTAGGGCTTAGGGTGTAGGGTTTAGGGCTTAGGGTGTAGGGTGGAGGGTTTAGGGTTTAGGGACTGTTAGGCTTTTTTGGGGATCTGCTGGGTTTTCGAGGGTTTAGGGTTTTGTTGGTAGGTGTTATGGGGATCTCTGCTTGGTTTGCTAGGGGTTGTACAGTATATTTAGCAATGAACACCCCTGTTTCTGAAGAATTGCACACAGAATTAAACTTTGTCTCCCAAACGTCCCTATTTAGCTATAAAGAAAGATTCCCCGCAGCTTCTGATTTGGGGGTCAAGGTTTGTAAACAAAGAGCTGGAGATGGACAGGGGGCTTTGTGTTTCCGGATGTAGATACATGGGCTATATAAGTACTATAAGCCTCAGCTTTTGGGGGTTTAGCCGTCAAGAAGCTGAAGGGTTGGAGCACACGGGTTTGTGGAAGAGATTCGGTGTGTGCTCCGCAGATTTGGCGCAAGTGCGTGTGAATTTGCAGGTTCACAATATAGTATTGTATCAGTGTACAGCTTTTGTAGCCAATGGTCTATATGGTATGCAGTTCTATCTGATGAAGGTTCTTGAAGCTTTTGCATCTTGTGCATTCGAACGAGAGCAGTGCTTGAGGTTTTCGGGATTCTGCTGGAAGGCGGTCGCGTTTGAGGATCTCACGGGGACAATTATTAGTAGCTTCTCAGCCGAATCACCCCCACCCTACGTCGAGTTTGCTTCGCTTGTGTGCAGTCTCTACCTCTGCCTCATGATGGGCTTTTAGGTTTTTTTGGGGTTTCGCGTCGTTTATCCAGGGCTTGATCTGTGTATTAAGAGGCTTCTGGGAGATCCTTGAGCCCGTACGTCTCTTCTGGGTAAAGCAAGATCAGAGCAACAGCGTCGCAGAGCCGAGGTGGCGCAGTTCTTGGCCGGTCACAAAGATTTCAAGAAGTCGGCTGCCGGTGGCTCAGAGCTCCAAAAACTGCCATGCTTCATAATAAGCTGCTTGGGTAGGATCGGGGTCTGATAGCATTCCTCTATGATCCCTCTATAGTCATGCACCAGATGCCGGGCTTCGCAAGACAGCTTTACCTTCTCCTTGCCTTCTCAAACAGCCTGAGGTTGTGTACCTGAACGAAGCCGATGCAAAGATGGTATATGTTCGCAAGACGACTCTCGGATGTTCTTTCAGTTTTCCGATGTTATCATGGGAGAATGGATGTCACTGTGACATGCTGCCCCAGTTGCAACGTGCAGTCACTCACCAATGCCCTCCTCGCTTCGTTGGTTTAGACGGCTGTATTCATTAGGTAAACTTCGATGGTGCAGTCGTGAGGTTGTGGGTGCCGGCATGGTCGTTTCTGCATTGGGCCACATTGAACCGAGGAAATCCACGATGAAGCTCGAGGATTGCGGCATTCCCCTCTCCGAGCGCTTCGCTTTCTACGACCAGGTCATTGCTGTCGGTGTACAGAGCAAAAAAAGAGCGGGGGAGCAAGAGAGGGAGCGAGAGAATCCCATCTGTTGAGACTCAGAGAGGGATCGTAACGGTAGCATTGAGCTCTGTGCTGGGAGTCGGTCTCTTTGACCGAAGGTTCCCTGAACCCCCAGTACCAAAAGCAGGCTTTCTGCAGCACGGCCTGCTGGAGCAATGGGGTGGAGCTCCCATTCCTGCTTTGCAGCCGCGGTAGGTGCACACCACTGGCATGGACATCCAGCATAAGCCGGATGCGCGCGCCGTGCTCACTCTGGGCAAGGCCACGATTGTCATATGGTCAGAAATATTGACCCTATATCTATAGTCACCATTAGTCCCCATTGCAGTGTAATGTCCCCCCAAACCCGTATGCTTACGGCTAAGAGTTGGAGGTTGCTGCTATTCTGACTCTCGCTCTCACAACAGACACCGCGGTTGCCTTGGAGAATGTAGCGCTCAAGGTTCAAGGACTGTCAAGGTCCGTGCATCGGGCAGGGATCAAAGTCGAGAGTTCGGCTTGAACTTTGGCGCCATGGGTTCCATCGGCTCATCGTCATTTGCCCGGCGGTTTCATGAGGTTCATAATGACTTTACAAAGCCGTTTCAGCCTTCATTGCAGAAAACCTAGAAGCACAGTGGCCAAAGCCCTTATCCCCACCTAGAAACATGAAATGGACTCCTTGGTCACACTCGCTTTTTTGAGCAGGAAGTCCGTTGTTCAACTTTGTTGTATCTCCAAGCCATGCTAAGCTACCCTGAGCAGGACATGGTTTGGAGGGACTACTGCCAGGCCGGAACCTGGGACCAATGTGCGATCGGTGACAGGTGCAGCTAGTATTTCTGCCATTCCTTGTTGCTTCAACCACTTTCTGTGATGACAAGCAACCACTCCATTTCTCAAAGCCCGGCAGAGCTCAGGGTGCCTACCGCATGCGTGGCATCAATCGTGGCCAACGCGTCGTGGTCTATGCCATTCCGGAGGTTGTTGCCTCAGTCGTGCGTGTGAAGCACGACAATGGCCACTGTCAGGATGAACATCCTGCTCCATCATCATGACGACCATGCTAGGTTTAAGAGCAGCCAAATCCACAGACACACGTTGAAAGTGTTCGTCGTTAGCGGTGTATTGGTAGACCCGTCACACCGCTTGCCATACCCTTAGTGTTCCATCTACATTCGCTACGAATCACAACGAAGATGACATTGACACCGCTTCCAATACTTCGCCATTCACTAGCTAGCCCAGTTCTCGTACCACAGATTGGAGAACCACTATGTTGACGAACAAGACGATGAGGCTGCGTGTGACGGCGAGGGTGTTGACCATGATGAAGGCGGTTCTCGCAGTCCTCACGGCCATGAAGGTCATCATCATCATCATCATCATCATTCACCACCGCCATGGTGCTCGTTTTCGCCGATGATGGTGCTGCTGCCGTCATCGATGATGATGTTGAGGATCCTGCCGACAACGAACAGTGGCAATGATGTCACCGTGTGGTGGTATCGTTCTTGCAAGAGCAGTATCAGCCTATCTGCAGATCTGGACAGCTCCACCAAACAAAACGTGCCGTAACTATGGAGGTCGCGAAGCTCATCGACACATCCCTTGTGGGTGTGAATCTCAACGCTGAGCCGCCGAGGCGCCTTTGAAGCGTTAACTGCAATATGGCACATACAGGCACTTGACTTGCTTGCACACTTGCGACAGCAACAGTCGCTGAGACCAGGCTCGAATGGTGGCCCTTTACCGCCATTCCAAACCACATGTGGGAGTGAGTATTCAATCGTTGTCTGTTGTGCTGGTCGGCATTACTGTATACTGACTAGCGTTATCATCATCGTCATCATGATGACTGTCACAGCCTTGATTTCCCTAATATTCCTCAAGCTAACCCGGATCACAGTCACAGCGCGGCAGCACCAGGGTTCCTCTCGTGCGCGTGGTGGCCTGGCTGGTGCTGAACGGGCTCCGCTCCGAGCGTGTCCAAGCCGGGATGCTGAGGCGCGACATGGTCGGGGTTGTTTATGGGTTTGAAAGAGGTTTAAAGTGCTGTGCGAAGTATCAGCGTTTACACGGGTTTTGTCAGGTTTTGTAGAGGGGTGTTGGATCAGAGTAGTTTCAACCCTCGGCAAGTTGAAGCACTTTCCGCGGCATGTGCGGTACAAACATTATTGCGTGTTGTCGTAGCTCAAGCGCAATGCGTGCAGGAGCCACAGACCATATGGGGATTCTGGTAGCACCACTAATGCAATATCCCGTGTCACGTGAAGTCGAGCACCTGACGAACTTGCTCACAGCGCGTCGTTTTGTGATAACAGCATCTCATTGTGGAGGAGCTCAGCTTTCTTGCAACAGATGCGAGAGATGCCTCCAAACGAGTGACAGTCGTGCTCAAGTCGTTACTGTCAGTTGTCAGGATCATTCGTTTTCTGTGGGCCTGTTTTCATGATCGGCATTAACAGGATAAGTACCCACTACTGTGGCATGATCGCTAGATTTTTTTTATTTTCAGCATGCTGACTGGGAGTATCAGTATAACTTTTGTTCCTTCCTTGTGGGAGGCATCCCGAAACTGGAGCAAAGTATGGACGAAGAGCAAGACCATGTAGATAAGATGTGTAGGAATATCTACCTAGACCTAAACTGTATATAGATAGACAAGGTACAGTCATACATAGTATATACGCATGTGGTCATGCAGTCATGCTTTTTTGGTACGGAGTAGGTGTACGTACCTCAGCATCACATTGCAATAACTCGCTCCGCTGCAGCAAAGCAGGTCTCAAGACTCTCACACGCTGTGGCGAAGGTGCTGTCACACTCGATCTGAGAACGTCGGCTTTAGGGTTCAGCCTACGGTCTGCTGTGCCTACACTTAACAGCTTCGAGCTTGGATTGTGAGGCTGGGCCCCGACATTATGAAAGCTGTAGTTGTTCACGAATTCTGTACTACGTTCAAGCGATCATGGTGCTCTTATGGCCACCTCAGTCTTTGCAGAGCTTCGATGGAGCCTTCCCTCCTCGAGTATTCAAGCCCCGGATCTCTGCGAACTGCTTTTCGGGAACATGGCCGATTGATGATTGACCGTAATGATAGTTTTGGTGGAGGATTCAGTCGTCAAGCCTTGTGGTACCACAAATGCGTTCTGTTGGTGTGATTGGCATCCTTGGCCTCAAGCTGAGCCTAAAGCTTGCGCACCTTGAACTGCTTACCTGAGGACCTGATCCCCTCATTCCTTAACGGGATGCCCTAACCCTAAACTGCTCTAAGCGGCTCCCTAAACCGTAAATCACATATCCCTCACTAGACCTCGCTGATCTCCAAGAAGAGCAAGCTCAAAGAATGGGTGCCATCGAACAACATGCCAGAAGACACGATGGATGAAGTTTGTTGTTTGTTGTTACTGTTCTGTTGCTGCATGATGACGTCTAAGACGATGATGAACAAAGCAGTGACCATAGCAGGAATTACGCCGTAGGTGTGATCGCCATGATGATGATGGTGATGATTGCGATGATGATGGTCATCACCAGCATTATCATCATCATGATAACGGCGACGACATGCGATGACGTTGTCGTTGCATTCATTGCCGATGTTGGTCGTGCTGGTGTCGTGTGATCAGGTGCTGTACGATCTGTTCTTGCCGTGTTCATCTTGATTCTTATCATAATAATAGTAATAATATTATAATAGTAATAACAATAATAGTAATCATAGTAATAGTAATAATGTTATAGTAGTAAGAACAATAATAATAATCATAATAGTAGTAATAATATTAATTTGCTGGACTTCGCAGGCCGGCCTATGCCTGGCTGCAAGAGCATTCGGAGGAGGCCAGTGGCGAGGAGGCCAGGTTTCACACATGCTAGAAATCGGGCTAGTGGGTGCACGTGGAGGTTTGGGGGGGTTGCGAAACAGTCAAGGACAGTGACGGCTTCGGGGGTTATCAATACAGTGTTTAAGTTAGATTTGGATTTATTGTTTGGATTGGTTTCGGTCTATGTGCCGTGCGACGGACCTGTATGCTTTACGTGATGGGCATCAGAGTTCGGGCAAAAGCACTGGGCATACCGGCATCCTATGAGATGTATCGCGCCTGGGATGAAGCTGATCGGGTTCGCGTCGCCGAGCGCAGAATTTCAGGAAAGCAGAGCTTTTCCATAGTCGAGTCAACCCTGGTTTGCCAGAATATTTGAGTCTTGCAAAGCGCGATGACCCCTGTACTACACTGTGATCTTTCCCTGTATCTCGAACGGTTTACGGGGAGCGCCAGACCCTGATTGAGCAGGCGAAGAAGCATCTTGACGTGTTCGAGGCAGCTGGAAGAAGTAAGCCTCTTGCTACCTGCGTTAGCATTCTCCGCCTGGTTTGAATATCTTTCTCATGTTGCCTGCTATCCGACCCTAAAGAATACAGGGATGTCATGACAGCTTCCATGCACTTTTCGATTGGTTTGGTTATGAATCGACTGGAACGTTGATGCAGGTCTACGCCCAAAAGCCTGTTCCCCCATGAAAACCTAAAGCCAATGCGAAGAGGTGCGTCGGAAATCGTAGCGGACGAAGAGTTTCATACCTATTTCTATTATACCGTCTACGGAAGACCTTGTTATTCGTAATTGCGATGAGTAGGACCCAAAACCGCAAACCCAAACCCAAAACCCCCAAAGAGCCTCAAAGCCCACAAACCCGAAAAGCCCTAAACCCTAAGCCCCAAAACCCCCAAAGCCCAAGCCGTCCTAAGTTCCCTTGAAACGACTCCGAAGGAGCCTCTGGACTTAGATCTGGCGTCGACCATTCCGAGGCGAATCGCTGCAGTACTACAGCGGCCTTCATACACAAAAACAAAATACCACTTATAATCGCGATCGTACCAATACTAACAATATTGACAATAGTAAAAATAGGAAATAGCGATAGCAAGAATAAGAATATATAATATAAGAGTAATAATAATCATACAAAAAAATAGCATTACTACTACTACTACTACTACTATTACTACTACTACTACTACTACTACTGGAGTCGGAGTCGGAGTCGGAGTCGGAGTAGGAGTAGGAGTAGGAGTAGGAGTAGTAATAATGATTATATTATGTATTACTATATTTGTAACAATCACAATGTGATAACATCTTATCAATAGTTACAGCTTGATAATGATGATTCGAATGGACTTTTGGATATGTGATTTCTCTGTGTAGGTACACAGTTCGCCCTGTAAGGTGCTACTCTTGCTGAGCACTGTTCAGAAATGGACCGTTGAAGCGTCGAGTTGGAGGCTTCGGTTAGGGGATGAGGAAGTCGCAACAGTAGCAGGCTGTTTGGGTTGAGGGTTTGGGGCTTGGGGTCTGGAGCTTCGCTTCGGCCGCTTACAGGTCCCGGCTCTTAAGGCGTGGAGACGGGATTCCGCGAGGAGACGTTGTAACGGTTGCGGGCAGCCGATCCGCTCCGACCAGTCCCGCCAGACGTCTGTTTGACTCGGTAGCTGCTATGCGATGCTCCGTGCATAAGAGTCTGCATGAGGAGTTCAGATCCCAGCTGGTCGCCCCATTAGGGATCAGGGTTCAACTTGGTCAGGAACTCGTCTAGCTTGCACGACCAAGAAACCGCTTCGAAGGCCCAAGAGCCTGGCAGAAGCCATTGAGGAGCGAGCCAAGGACAAGGAATGGCCAGGGCACTCAGGCTTCTCTCGGGGTTGAACATGTGTCATCTGGATCTTCTTACCCGAAGCTCCCATCCCAGAAAAGAGCCCAAGAACAAGGAGGGTTCGGACGTGCGGAAACCATCATGCGCAGGCTTTAGGGTTTAGGGTGCGAGCATCCTTGCGTGTGATTTTGATAACAGGCTTGGAGTCTGCTTTGCAGCAATTGCCCTCCACACCAGGAGCTAACCCTGCAAAGCCTCTATTCCCTTCGATCCCGCAATCCAGTGTAGAAGGCCAAGAAAGCTTATAATCGGATATAAGCCCTGTGAGAATTCACCTACATGAACATCAACGAACCCCGAATCCCAAAATCCGAGCTCTACGCTATTCCAGGCATGTAGGCCCCCATATCAGGCCAGCAAATCGAGACTGCCTGAGGCTGCTCGGCAAGGAGCAGCTGGCAGAGCTCCAGCGCCTGGTTGGTGTCTCTGCGGAGTCGGAGCAGGTCCGCAGGATTTGGTTTCTATAGTATCGCATTTGGGATTTAGGCGCTTTCGGGGCCGTTTTCGAGCCGGTTCAGATGGTGGTCATGTCTGCCTGTTAAGTGTAGATTGTAGGAGAGAGGAGTCTCAGGTCCTCAGGTATGGCGGTAGCTGCCTGTGGCTTAGGAGCTGAGCTAGACGGCCTGTGCGCAAGAGGTGATCTTAAGGCTTTACTCCCTCGCTCATTGTCATCGCGCAGTTTGGGCTGACCGCTTATGCTTATGCTACGGCTCACACTCATGCGCATTTCCAGCCAAGATTGTGCAGGTGACTGTCAGCACTGCAGACCAGGAGCAGCAGCAAGAGCAGGACGGGGCACAGACACCGGACCAAGTCTGACATGTCCGTCCTTCATGCGGAAGACTATATCTCATCCAAGTCGCGCCCAGTGTGCCACAACCTCTGAAGATGAAGTGCGGGGGATCTTTGGCGATCGCCTTTGAAGTGTATGATCTTGACTGTGACATTCAGTTTCCCCTTAAGTTTATGCAAGGCTAGCAGCGTCTAACGTCAAGAGAGTCCCTCCTCGATTCGGACACAGCTCAGTTTCGTGGGGAGCTGATCGTGCTATGAGCTGCTTGCTTGTAAGCACAGAGTGACAGATCGTGATCCTTGCAAGTCACCCACTGCCAGATCACGTCATGCTACGGCATCTTGCGCAGTCTGTGTCTGTACGTCAGGAGGCAAGAAAACGCTCAATAAACGCAGACATGCCCACATATAGTCATCCCACCCGACAGGAGCAGGAGCAGGAACAGGAGATCGAGATTGAGAAGTTCGCAGACCTAGGCTTGCAGAACTCTCCGTGGAACGGGGCCCGTAACTACGAATTCTAAAGGAATTCTGGGAGCGCCCTGGCTTTTGATCTGGGATCTGAGGGGGTTGCAGTTGAACTCGCTCCGGAGGTAAGAAACTCAAGGGGGCCCCCCTTTCGACGTGTCTGGAGCGGAGACTAGAGCGGCGAGGCTTCCTGAGGTGCTCACAACTGCAAGGAACGGTGTCTTCAATAGGAAAGTTGTGCATAACTCGGGAGGCTCTTGTGCACGAAAGGAGAACAGAAGCCAAGTCTCCATGTGTCTCTCGCTCTTCCTTCTTTCTCTCTCTCGCTCTCTCTTTCTCTTGTTCCCTCTCGTTCTGTGCATACATATAGCGCCACATTCGAACATGCATGCCGCAGAAGCATACACTTGATTCTGCGTGTGAAAAACCACAGCCACCTTGCCGACCCTGCCCTCCGCTCTAACCGCCTCCAACCTAAAAACTCCCAGCCTGAGCCCCGAAGCCCAGAACTCTGACCACTGCACGCTTAAACCATGACCCGAATCACGGTAGGGCACCCGCTCCTTCAGGCCTTGATCCTTGAGCCCTCAGCGCGAGAATCCCAAAATCTTCCTACGCCATGAACCCTAAACCCTATATAGACCCCTAAACCCAGAAACCCTACACCCTAATTCCCAAACACCCTTCTTGGGCGAGGTTTCCAGCGAGACGGAGAACGGCCGCTGTCTTGGAGCTACGAGCTCCTCACGCAGGGCCGCGAGGCGACGAAGAGCTCCCAGAGCCAGCAGAAACACCAAAGCCTGAATGCTGCAAGTCCCAAAGTCTGCGTACTGTTTGTAGTGTTGGACCAAAGTACCTACAGTAAAAATATATATATATATCATATACATTACCTACTACATACATATATTGCCAAAGTACCTGCTAGGTTGGTACAACCTGTGGCGGGGGCAATATCATTTAGACGGAGAGTCCATTGCTTCGGGGGCCTGGGCTATTTTGGGGAGGCATTGCAGGGGTTTAGGGTTTAGGGTTCTGCGGATTCCGGATACACCCAGTCTCGCAGTGCCTCCCAAAGAAACTGACTTAAGATCAGTTCAATGGGACTTGGCTCCTCGTAGATCCCTTTCTTAGGCGAGTGTCCTCCATGAAGCATTTCAGTCTCTGAGACCTCTGGGGGTTCCTCCCATCCGCCAAGTATCGCAATCCACAATACCATGAGCCGTTCGTAGTACGACATCTACAGTATCGGAGCTCTTTGTCTTCCTGGCTTTGTTGATGACATACTGCATCTTACTGCTATCCTGTAGAGCGGCCTTGATTTCTGTGACTCTGTCACAGGCCGCGGTCGGCCTGGATCGTGAGCGACCCTTCTACGAGGCACCTTCGGTGGTTTGTGATGCTGGTGTGGAAGTTCCCGGCGTCTTCGAGCCTTTTGCTCAGGCCAAGAACTTCCAGCTGTACAAGAAGCAGCCACTGAACTTCCCCGAAGATTTGCTGCTCAGCCGGCTACCCGTCTGCAATTCAGACATCGAAGACCTCCAATGCCACATGGGACCTCCCAAAGACTCCCGAGCTTCTCAGTGGTGCTCCAGGAACTACTTCAACCGCTATTGGCTGGGTCATCGTCGGCTGAAGAACGCTGTGATGCTCCTGGTCTGCATTGCTGAAGCACGACAGCCTTGCAAGCTTGCCGGGGGGGGTTGCTGCAAGAGCAGGTGGTAAGTGTAGATCGGTAGTAGTATCCCCACAGTAACATCCAAGTCTACAAATACTTGCGAGGAGCGCTACATACCCCCACCAAGACCGTTACATAAACCCTACTCACGTTTACCTCACTTGCTCGTTCTCATGACTGTGGCTGATGTAGTGGCTGTGGAGGCAGGCTAAGTAATGTTGTAATCCCCATGAGCTCACGATTGGGCGCAGGATGTTGGAGTGGATCCCTCGTGTTGGCGAGCTCAAGGAGCAAGCGCGTGAGGCGGGATGAAGGGTAGTCCTCCGCAGCAAGTCCCCCTCCGTCCTCTGACTTTGAGTGGTTGGTTTCCATTGTGCTGATGCGTCCTGTGTATCCTTCTCCGCGGCGAGAATCTTGCATCAGGGCCTTCGTTGCAATCTCACCCTTTTCTCACAACGCTACCACATCTTGTTCCTGGTTTTGGTTCACTCTCGTTGCATACTTCGACCATATACTCTAGTCTGAGGTCCAAGGCAGTGTCTTATTATTTGGTAGTTAGTGTATTCGGGCTGTCGTCGTCGGAATGATGCTGCTTCGTGTTAACCTTTCGGTCACACTGTCTCTAACGACGATACAGTGATGATGGCGGTAGATGTCACGGCCATGTTCAGCATGATGATAATGATAAAGATTCCGCTGCTGTTGATGATGACGACATAGTGGGGATGATCATGCTTGCAGTTTTAATTCGTCCAGTCCTTGGTCGAGATATCAGATACCCCTGAAGGCCTGGACTAGCGAAGAGGAGGCGCAGCTTTTGGACATCTGGAGCGTACTGACCAAGGCCCTCGGCATTCGGTCTCCATACCGGTATGCGGGCTAAAATATGACATGTAGAAAAAAGTTGAAGTTAATCAGCTTCGCACATGTGCGGTTGTCAAGAGCACGCTTCTGATGTCAAGAGCTGGATCAGTAAACATGGCCCGCTCCTCAACTCATTGCCCACCATGTCGCTGACAACATCCGCACACTGGCAATGACCTTCACGATCACCGCAACTAGCACCATCACCAGAACCACCATCATCTCCACTCATCGCCGCCACCGCCAATATCCCCTCACCACCGCCACCAGGTCCAGCGCCATCACCTTTTACCAGCAGCATCAACAGCAATCGCTGCCGTCGCCACTACCATCCTCATCATCATCCTCACCACCATCATCATCATCATCATCATCATCACCATCATCATCATCATGCTTCCAGCGTCGGCTGGCAGGCATCATCATCGTCACCATCCTGCTTCGTTTTCTCGCTACATTAACCAGAAAATCCAGTGTTTTGGCTTGGATGTTGATGGTGTGGTGACTGCAAAGACCTTGCAGGACACTGCCAAGGACAAGCCGACAGACCAGGCTGTCTGGGCAAGAGGTTGCATGTTCGCTGTTGCACGATAAAATACCCCATGGCTGCTAGCCCAATCCGTTCACTCAGACATGGCAGTGGCAACGGAATCGATGCGTTCGGCTTGTGTCAGGGTTGGACTGAGAGGTGAGATGAACTGTTGAGGCCATCAGCTCCCCCCGTTTCCTCGACATCTCTTAATCGGGAAGAAGTTTCCAGACATACTACAACATACCAGCAACTACATCAGCCCTTGTTCAAGCAGAAATTGATGTATTCTTGACTTCGAATTCCAACGACTCCTCGACCAGAAGGTTCGAGGATCCAGCAAATGCTGTCGCCAGGTGAAGCGGGCCACCGGGAGCATCAATGGGGCGGTCCTGAAGGCCTTGAGCTGTACTGTCGATGTGATCCAGTGGAGAATCCCGCTCCAACTACTTCGGGCTTTTCCTCGACGTATAATGCTTGCACTAGTATTGACATAGCGTATCGAGCTCTTGTCGACCTACACAGTACCTCTCTACCATGCACCAAGGAACGCGAAGCCTTGTTTGATGACGGAGACATTGTCTCTAGTTGCGAACTTCGCAGTCATGTCAGCAAAGCAACCCACGTCTAAGGAGTCTTTCCTTCTCGTTGTTTGATACTCATCTCTGGTCATTTGTTACCGAGTGTTTGCCGGGGATTTGGAGGTATGCGGCTATGGATAGTTTTCTCGTGATCCGCGTCATCGTTCAAGAACAGAGTAGTGATGACCAAGACACGATGCAACATGCAGCTGCCTGTGGACTACATTTCTGCTTCTTCGTGCGCTTAGATTGGCAAGCATGGATGTTGATGATCGAAATCTTACACCATCTACCAAACCCTGAACCCAACAATCCAAACTCACAACTCTGAAACCCTGAACCCCAAATCCTAAGCTCTGGGCCTTAAACTCCTGAACCCTAATCCAGCCTAAGCCTACTGCAACTTGGCGGCCTTTCAGATCAGGACTACATACTATCATATACGATAATATTCTATAATATCCATAATATACTATAATATTCCATAATATGCTATAATATAAGGACCTCCAGAGTGCGCTCCATGGGCTCCCAGAGCCCACGCGATTCGCTGCCTTCCTTGCGGCTTGGGAGCCCAGCTTCGCGACCGATGTCGCATATCAGATCGATTTATCGTTGCTACTTTTTGTGATTGGGATTTTTAGTGTTAGTCATATTTGCATATTCGTATTGGTACTAGTATTGAGTTAGTTGCTACTGTTAATAGCAATAATAATGGTGTGAGTATTCATGCCAGCATTCGTATTCTTGGCATTGTTATTATTAGTAGTGGTGTTATTATCATTACTGTGAGTAGTATTACGATTTCTTTTTCTGCTTCGTCGTATGAATATTATTGGTATCATGATTATTCGTATTCGTAGTATGTATACGATTATGTAAGGACCCTAATAAAGGAATAGTGCTGCTGTTTCTGGATGTTGTGGGATGGAGGGCTGTGGCGGCTGTGAGATTTCGGGTTACAGGATTTGTCTTCCTTCGTTCCTTCCAGAGTAGGCAATGATACCTGCTTGGAGACACGTTCGCTAGACTGGCCTGCAACATTCATCACAATGAACCCATGGTGATTACGTCTGATACCCAACCTTATTAAGCTATATTAAGCTCAGTTCACACGATGCACCAGGGCCTTCGAGCACGCGGTTTTTAATAAGAATCGCTGCTCGAGCCGTTAACGACGCTGGATGCTTCAGGATTCCCTTAATGCCCATGTGAAGCAGGAATCTACAAAAGCACACCCCCTTCCCATAGTTCTGGCTTACTCTCAAGATTCGCGACCAAACTGCCTAGATAGTTAAAAATGTCTCCAACCCAACCCATATGCTAACATCCTGAACCCTAACCGCCAAGCCAAAAGTCCAAAAGCTTCAG